TGTCAATAGCCGCGGAGATTAGCTCCCTTGATTGATGAGACTTTTTGCATGTATCTATTAATGTCCAGTTTACTTAGACACAGCATCACTCATTGTGTCTCAGGGCCTAGGATTCTGGGATGCTAGGGTTGACGCAGGAGGTTGTCGATGTAACGATGCCCATTTACACTCACCAAGGATCTGTCAAAATAACCACTTATCAATATTGAGTCATTTTACTCCCCAAAACTTATTTTCGATCTGTACGTTAGTAGTTACAATGTATCTTCCCAAATCCCGCAGCTGCGCTGTACATTGAACAAGTTATTATAGCAAGTTCTGTTGTCAGGAAAGGCTTAAGTCTGAGCAAAACCACTTCAATCAGAGCAGATCACAGACTGTGTATCTTTCAAATAATGTTTGATAACTATGAGAGACAGTGGATCTAAAGTAACTCGTTCAAAACCACAATGGAGAGCCCACACTTCAGCTAGGAGAACAGACAAGAGCTGGCTTGAAATTGCCAATCTGACAAATCTGCATCCTATTTCAAAAAAATGATCCTCGGCTTGACTCTTTGCCATAGAGCCATAGTAAAGCCATGCAACCCCACCGAATGTGTGCAGTTTGAGATGTCTCAGGACTATTCAGTGCATGTAATTCTACTGCTGTCAGTACTGTACTGTTGTCAGAAGGGATGCTGTCAGAGGAAATCAAGCCCACACCCAGTATCTTGGCAAAATTACACACCACACCTAGGTGCCTCCGAGAAACAGTGCTTCCCCACTCATAAGTACAGCCTGAATGTAGAAAAAAAAAAACTTTTAAGGGAAGAAGGAAAATCACCTGATATTAATTAGGGAAAATGCCACAAGCAGGATCATAATCAGAAAGCTCTGAGCAGGATACCCACTCCTGAGTGCACAGGGAAGTGTTCTTGAACCTCATTCTACAACAAGAAGTTCCTTTTCTTTGCCCCTCTCTGCTCCCTCCCCACATCACACTCGCAGTGGTTGTCCTCAGTCAGTGAGGACCCAGGCTAGGAGGAGCATCTGTGCGTGTTCACCTCCCACTCGGGGAAGAAGGCACCTTGCCTACTCCACCATCCGAGCACTTGTTTTTGCTTCCTGCCCTGCTAGCCAGGATTCCCGTCTGTGGGCCACTCGTTCACTCATTTGCCTCTCTGCTGTGACCTCTGCACATCGGTCTCTTAGAGCACATCGACACAGCAGGACTAACGTTGAATTAAGCTACGCCACTTGAGCTATGCCAATTGCTCTAGGTGCTGTTTGCACAGCAGAAAGTCGAGGGAGGAAAACGCTTCCTTCCACTTCCCTTATTCCTCGTAAAACGAGGGTTACCAGGAGTTGGCGTAAGAAGTCCTCCAGCTTGCCATTATGTCGAAATAACGGCTTGCTGTGGAGATGCTCTCTTTGTTCTCTCAGAATAATGTCAATTATTCAGAAATAACACCACTGTGTAGACACAGCCTGAGTGATTTTTTCAGTTCTTTGCAGACTGGGCAGAAACACAGGCCCGCCACAAGTTACTTCAGTTTCATTTGAGCACTTTAACATAACAAAAGATTCCTAATGCAGCCTCTTTCTCCTCCCATTTGTCCTCTGTTGCTGACCCTCAGGACTCAGTCCTTGTCCATCTTCTTTTCTCCCAGCTGCACTACCCAGAGGTAACCTCATGCAGTCTCATGGCTTCAGTTACTCCCTTTAGAGGAGATGGCTCTCGGGTCTACTCAGCTCCCTAGCTTTCCCCTCTTTATTCAGACTCATCTTGGATAACGCACCACCAGCTCAACCCCACGAAATTCAAATTCATCCCATTTCCCACCTGACCTTTCCTCCTTCTTCCCCATGCCCTAGCCCTAGCTCAAGTCTCTGCATTGTTTCAGGCATCACAATCTACTCCCCACTCCCACCCGTCTGGTTTCCCCACATTCCTGGTGTCAATAAATCCCCTCAATTTTCCCTTCTACATGACCTCCAAATTCCATCCATCTGCCTCCATTCACACTTAAACCAGACCCTGATCTCCTTTCACCCGGACTTCTACACCCTCCTCCTCACTGGTGGCCTAGAGGTACAGCTCTTCCCACCTCCTCTGTAAAGGAGCCCAAGCTCCTCTGGTGTAACAAATATGCCCAGTCTCTGGTTGAGAAAAGACAAGGCAGCTTCATTCTCAGGGGTGCAGCAACAAGAGAGAAAGTAGGTTCCACCCGAGTCATTTTGTGTTTGGGTTCCCAGGCCCTTTGTTGTCTTTTTATAAGAACAGAAAGCATTCCAAAGCCCAGCAGGCTCACTATGTCTAAGCTCTGTAACCTAACACCCTTGCTCTGCACTGGCTGGCCTCTCGGCCTCTCCCAGAAAAGATGAGCAAGTTCCATCACTCCTAAGTGGTAGATAAATAGTGTCTACCTCCCCTGCCAAACAAACACAGTTGTTTAACCCTGTTTCTCCTAGATAACTTGCTGCAGTCAAAACAAGGGTAGCAGGCATTCGGTCTGTCTGTCAGTTTGGGGTGGAAGCTGGAAGGGCCCCTCCCCTGAACCTCCTCCCCCACTACACATGCAGGGTCACTACATCTCACTAGACCCATCAATCCACTCAAAGAATTTCCACAAAATCACTTGTCTTGCCTGCCTTTATGTCCTTATCTAGCTTCTCTTCAAGTCCCATGGGCTTCTGCATCAAATTCAAGCTCCTTTTCCTTCATGAATAAGGCTCAGTACAACTTCTAGTTCTCTTTCCACCTTCGTCTCTTTGGGTACGTCTACGCAGCAGGGCTGAAGTCGAATTAAGCTACGCAACTTGAGCGACGCCAATTGCGTAACTTAAGTCAAAATAGCTTAATTTGGCTTTTGGCGCGGTCTACACAGCAAGAAGTCGAAGGAAGAACACTCTCCCTTCCATTTCCCTTACTCCCCGTGAAATGAGGGTTACAGCAGTCAGAGTAAGAAGTCCTCCAGCTGGACGTTATTTAGAAATAAGGGCTTGTAGTGTAGGCGCGTACTATGTTATTTCGGAATAATGTCAATTATTCCAAAATAACGCCACTGTGTAGACGTGCCCTTAATGTGTCTGCAATCAACTGCCCCTTTCCTGTTCCTCTCTCCCTCTGTGAGATAATCATGTGATCTGCTCACATGCATTGCTGGTTTCTAGAATAAAGGTAGTCCCCCTTGGGAAATGGTCCTGAACAGCAGGGGGGGAAGCTCAGTGAAAAATGCTGCTCAGTGCAGAGTGGATGTCTAAACAGCAAACAAAATGTTCAAATGTTTTGTTCAAATGTTTAAGGAGTGGAATGGAAAATATTATAAAATACCAGTATGTCTTCCTGTGCAGTACTGTGCTCAGTTCCAATCACTCGAGGATACAGCAGAATGAGAAAGGTGTCAGAACAGATGGGTAAAATGAGTCAAGACCTATTTGTGAAGAAAGACTGGGACTGTTTACACCAAAAGGAGTTGAGTAGGGATATATAATAAAGGGACCTGTGCACAAAATAATAATAGTATAATTAGAGTGTACATGAGGTGTTCCTATTTACCTTCTCTCATAGTACTACAAGTGGCATTCAGTTAAATTACAGTTAAAACTAATAAACATTTGTTAATATAACACAGTGTACCCAAAGGAACTTATTGCCACATGATGTTATTGAGGCCAGGAACTCAGGACTAGACCTGCTTATGGGTACTGAGAATATACATCATAACATTGGACAGGACAAAAACAAATTTTAAGTGAGATAAATTGTCTTGCTTCCAAGAGTAAATTAACCCTCTCTAGCAGAGATTAGGAAGAAACTACTTCTGAGGTCAGGGTAATCTATAATTGTTCATTATGGGATTGCTTGCACCTTCTTCTGAAGCGGTTCGTACCAGATGGTATTGTGATGGTGGACTAGATGGACTAGTTTGATAACTGGACTGATCTGTTACAGCAGTTCTTATGTTTCCGGCTCTTTTCTCTATGTGAATCTGACACTTGGGACCCACTCTCTGGCCTGATCGGTCCTGCCTCTACCTCTCCTCCCTTCAATAAGCCCCCAATTTTTCCCAGGAGATCTATAAACCCTGACCCTGCTATCCAAGAGATGTGAAAATAACCACAAAAATACATACCATGCTGGCCTCTCTGCTCAGTCTGCTTTTTGTTACGTCTCCATTGCTCCCTTTTGTCTTCAAAGTCATTCTTGATTTCAGATAATTTGGGCTATGCATTTGATCACCTAGAAGCCCTGACAATTCTGCAGCACCAGAGAGTTCTGCATGTGAGAAGCGGTCAGCTTAAGAGAGAAGTATTCAACCCTGAACCTGACCTGGGAGAGTCAGTGAGAAAGAAGAGAGGTGGAGCCCTTGTCCTAGCAAACAACCAAAAATCTCTGAACCAGTGAGATGAGCCAGAAATTGAGCTAGAACGGGAAACAGTCGCCAGGCTTGGAAGGGTAAAAAACTTGTGTCCAAAGATAAGTTAAAAAAAATAGGAGCAGTCTTCACACACACTAATATGTTTTTTCTCTCCTCTGAGATTTGAGTGGGCTTCTTTGTTTTAGGAGCAGGATGAAGGCCCCGATCCTAAAGGCCACCTCCTGCACAGCAGCTGTTAAAAGAGGTCTTTGTATAGACAATCTTTGAATGGAAGCCCTTTCAGGGACTGAACTTTTCTTGTCTGTAAAGCTCCGAGTGCACGCTTATTACTGCACGAACAGTATGTTAGCACCAACTCCCTGCGATTAACATGTTCATATTCCCTCTCTGACAGTAAGCCCAGGTTCGGAGAATAAGCTTCATTTTTTACTCCATTCCGAGCTCTGCTGTGGAGTTTTATCTTCACACATCAGCACTGCGAGGAGAGCCAATGAACGGAAGGCGTACCGCTCAATCTGTTTCCTCAATGTTTGCTTTGGCTCTCGGTACAGGAAGCCTCGTGCTATGAAAAGGCATAAGAAGGACTCTTCTCCACCTCCAAGGAACTAATCTGTCAGGAGCAGGCGGAGTTGGGGTGGAGAGGTGGGGAAGTGGAAGAGGGAACGGAGACACTGGCAGGCAAGGGCGCGCTGTCACAGAGGGACGCGCTGCAGCTGGGCTTGCAACACAATGGATGGGACGAGCAAGCTGTGTGAGCGATGACAGCAAAAATGGACATGAATTTTGTTGGGAAGACTTTTTGTGCCTTCATTCTGCTGACCGTCGCATTGGCCATGGTAACGAGGGGTAAGTCTGACTTCTCTTTGGGACGTAGCATGGGTAGAATGCCAGGGGGGATGTGCTAGGATGTTTCCTTCACATAAAGGCTGTATTTTTCAGTGCTGCTTTCATTCAAGGACACTGTTGATTATGTATTACTGGCACCTTAAACCTGCTCTTCATGCATCTGCCCAGGATCACCTGGCCTGTTGTCACTAGGGCTGTACCATGTATCTGATTTACCAAGCAGTCGGGACTGATTCATAGTTAATATGATCAGCTCCCAGAAGACTCTTCACCTATGTCTTTAAATTCCTGTCATCTGAGAGACTGAGTTCTTTAACAAGCTCTAGCTCACACAGAGACTGGTGCATGCAGCCCCATCTGTGCACCCAGTCTCATCCAGGGTGTCTCTTCTGGGTTTCGTTGAGAAGGCTGGTGGTAGTTCCCAGGCGGCAGGGTGAATATTGTACCTTTCATTCTGAGTGCTGGTAGGAGATCCTATGTTGGGAGTGGCGAGCAGTCCTGAGCAGTGCTCCGGAAAGTTGTTTTCTCATGCGGTCACTCAGGAGAGAGACCAATGCCACCCAGATGAGTAGCAGAGCACCCACAACTAGATCTTTTATTTCTGCTGGTGGTGCACATTCGCACATACTTTGGTACACATCATTTATTTGGTGCATGGATGGAAAAAATCTGCGCATGGATGAAAATGGATTAGAGGGAACATTGGTTCTGAAGATCCACTCTGAGAGCTTGGGGGAGTTTTACTGCCAGGCACACCTTTCAGTATTTGATCAAAACTAGCCTCTCTAATAAAAGCCCTATCCTCTATTGCTATGCTGCCTAGCTTCTTAGGGCAGCTGTTTATATTAGCCTTTTAGCCATGCCAGCTACTGCCCACCAGCTCCCACCTCCCTGTATTTGTAGAGCTCATGGCCTTCCAATCCCCATGAGTGCAAGCTCATCCCACAGAACTCATAACTGAAGCAGGGAGAGGCAGCCTCATGCATAAGTCACAAAAGCCTGATGTGTTAATACTAAATATACATACTGGCAGTGAGCTGCTGTAATGTGCTGAGTTATTCAAGTGTACACTCCATGGTTTCCCATCTCTAGTGCCTTCCACCAGAGAAGTTCCAAACACATCACAGCCATTGTTTAATTCAGCCTCAGCTCCTCGAGAGATAGGTTAATATCTTGTCCCCATTATACAGGTGAAAATACCGAGACACAGGAGTATTAAGCAGCCTGCCCAAGGTAGTAATCTCATGGAAGAGTCAGCATAAAACCCCATGGTCTTAAATAGAGCTGATCAGGAAATGGGGATATTTTTCCTAGGAGAATTTTGACATAAAATGGAAAAAAAAGTTTTTGTTCAAATTTTGTTCAGAAATTTTCAGTTTCTGCAAATCTTGCAGCCACAACCCAAACCTTTTCAGCCAGAAGATTGTTGAATTTTTTTGACAAAAAATGAAAATTTCCATGGAAAGCAGATAACTTTTTACAAAAAACAGTTGTTTAATCAAAAGCCCAATTTTACACAGAAAAAAAAAGATGACAGAAATTTCCCACCAGTACCTACCCTGGAATGCCCTGTTTCCCAGACCACACTGCTTCCCTCTCTACATTAAGCTGAAGGCAGGAGAGTGCACACAATAAGACCAAAGAAACTGCTCTCTAATTCCTCCATTTTGGCCTACGCTCCCAGAGGCCACAGATCTACTGGTGTAGTTGGGTCCAGGGGATCTACACCCTTTATGCTACATTTGTCCCCACAGAGTAGCAAAGTTATCGGGAGCTCAGAAAGCTTCTGGGGGTCCGGAGCGGCTGCAAAAATGAAATGATGACATTTGAAAATTCATGCATTTTGCATACTCAACTAGAGCCTAACTACATTAGTCCTTTTCTTAAAATTTCCTACCGCTGCATTATCAGCTATGTGGCTCCACTAATTTTAGTGACAACGGAAACACTAGCTTAGACAAGGCACTGGCGGTTTCACAGCTATGGTGTCTAGTCCTGCTCTGAGCTGTTTTACATGACACACAATTTTAAATGCTGGCAGCTAGAGGTGCTAAAGCAATTTGTATAGAGGGGGTGCTGAGAGCTATTGAATCAAAGCATAAACCCTGTATATAATGGAAAGCACCTAAAGCCAGGAGCTGAGGCAGATTCTCAGGACTCCTAGTTCCAGCACTTATGTTGGTGGCTGGTCTATAACAGTGATATTACCATTGCAGCCAAGAGAACTGCAATAGATTTATGGAAGGAACCTCAACAAGTCATCAAATCTAGTTTTCTGCACTCATGGCAGGACCAGGCACCATCTAGAGCATCCCTGACAGGTGTTTGTCTAACCTGCTCTGAAATATCTTCAATGGTGGAGATTCCACAACTTCCTAAGCAATGTATTCCAGTGTTTAACCACCCTGGCAGGTAGAATGTATTTCCTAATGTCCAACCTAACCCTCCCCTGCTGCAATTTAAGACCATTGATTCTCGTCCTATAATCAGAGGTTAAGGAGAATAATTTTTCTCCTTCCTCTTTGTAACACCCTTTTAAATACTTGAAAGCAGTTACCATGTCCCCTCTCAGTCTTCTCTTTTCCAAACAAGCCCAATTCTTTCAGTCTTCCCTCATAGCTCATGTTTTTTAGAAATGTTAAGAAAAGTGCCAGTGCATGGACAGTCACGCACTGTCCCCCAATGTCTGCACATGAATGTCAAGGGAAGTGTGAGCAGTGAGGGGAGGTGTTGCATGCGGAGTTCTTTTAAGGTTCATACAATGAATTTCTAACCCTACTGGACTGTAGGAATTGCCATTCTGGAAGAGATCAGCTGTCCATCTCAAACACTATGCCGTTGGCGGTGGCCAATGACAGCCAGTTCAGAGGACAGTGCAAGAAACCATATTTGGCAGTTCTGGGGCCTGATTCATCACTGAGTTAACCAGTGGTGTTACACCAGAGTAAAAGTGGAGTAAAACTGTTGACTAGTGTAAAACTGGAGTAACTCAGGTGTGAATGGAGCTCATGGGGCGATCTGCCCATACTGGAGGTTTATTTACATATGCATATCTGAATCTTGACTGCAATGATTAAACTTCTTTCCTTAATACATATTGTGGATTCTTATTCTTTGATGCATGTTTTCCTGCCCTATCTAATACTTCCTATCTCCTGCCATTCTCCTAACCTCTGGCAGTCATTTATGGTGCAACTTTATGCCTGAACTTCACAGAAGGAGGGAAAATATTTTGATAAACTGCCTTTGTTTTCATCCCACTCTTGCTCGTGTGCCCCCTTTGTTTATGGCATGGGTACCCTGCTGTTTATTTTAACACTGAAAAATACATATTAAAAGGGAAAAATGTTTGATTATTTTTCTTACCCAACAATTTAAATAATGTTCTTTTTTTTTATTAGCTGAGACTTTTACAGCTGATTTCTTCCCCCTTCCCTCGCCATACACAAATTCTTTAAAGTCAGATACTATATTAGGACTTCAGAGTTTACATTTACAACACTCTGATCCAGGACTGTTGTGCTTGAATGACTGTCTGAAACCCCAGCAGTAAGGAGATTTGAAAACAGCCTCCTGACCACAGACAATATTGTATTTTCTGATATCTGCGTGTGGATGTACGCACTGTTGAAAACCCACAGCTGCTATTTTTGTTCATTTGTTTGGTTTTGAATATTTTGTTCACTTGTTTGTTTTTGTACATTCACATGTACAAAAAGTATCAGAAAGTCAGAGCTCTTATTTATGTTTTTCATACGGCAGATTCATTATTAGAAAAATCCAAAGAAATATTGCAAAAAACCTGAAAACCCAACTCCAAAACAATTATGACTGAGATTTTTAACTACAGTACACACAAGTGAAGATGTCAAGCATTAAGAACAGTACAGTCACCTTAACTCTCCCAAACTGTACATATACATCACAACAGGTATTTCTTTAAATGATCACAGAACACAATACAGAGTCAGACATAGAAAATCCTACATTTTCATTTTTGATTCCCAGAGAAGGTGCAACTTCCCCACAAACAGAACAAAATGCATTTTAGTCCTCTTCTACTGAGGGGTAAAACTGAAATTTAGATTGAGCCTATGAACATCATATAAAATGTCCAATGTCCATTTCCTCAATGAGAAAAATATGGAAGGTCCTTTGTAGCTGTTTGCTAGGTAATATGTCACATTTAATCCATGTGAGGACTCCCCTATGTGGAGAAAATACTCATTTACCTGCGTTAGTGCCCACTGCACCACTGGAATGACACTTCATGAGGACTGAAGATGTAGTCCTGTAATTCTAACTTTCTAGACGTTGATTCAAATGGCAGCCTCCATGGATTTAAAAAAAATGTTCCCTGCAAAATAAAAACACAAAAAATAATTTACCATAAAAATGTATTACACACACACACACACACACACACACACACACACACACACACACACACACACACACACACAGAGCTTTTGTATAAATGGCCAAATTTCTAAATGGAAGGAACAGACTTCTTCAAATGTTGCAAATGGTGGTTTTTTTCCCTATACTAACATCAGAGAGATATTTGGGGCTTAATGGGAATAGTTTCTGAACATGAGCCAATAAAAGTGCTATCTTAATTAGAACAATAAAGGGAATGCTGAGGGTAAAATTCATGAGACAGACTGGAGTAAAAGCAACAGAGGAGTTTGCACACTAGGACTGGTTGGGTCCCCACCTGCATTTGTCCTTGCACACTTCATCTGCGCAAAGCATCACTAAAATCAGCATTAGTGCCATAATAAAAGCATACATTCAAATTGCAAAGCCTGAAGTGGGCAGAATACAATGAGGTAGCCAAACGAGCAAATATCAGATTTATTCTTGAGTTCCGTCAGCTTGTTTGATGACATACAAAATATGGAGAGACAGACCTTGCCATATAGAGTCTACAGCTTAGGGGACAGATCCTCACCTGGTGTAAACTCTTAACTCCATTTAATTCAATTCAGTGATGATTC